ACTTGACTGCTAACCAGAAGGCTGGTGGTTCAAACCCACCAGCCACTCCTCAGAAGGAAGATGGGGCAATCTACTTCCATAGTGATACTGCCTGGGAAACCCAAGGAGGGGTCGCTATGAGTCGGGTCTGACTCGAGGGCACATAACAACAACAACATTTTTAGTTGAATTAATTTATTCTAATCCAGCATTTAGGAAAACAAATTCTTGATTAAATTAGTATAATTTGTTCATACTTTAAACATTATTTTTGTTTTATTGAACAGGTGTATTCGATGTGAACCAACATTTGTTAATACCAGCAAGTCCTGTGCATGTTCAGAACCTAACATTTTAGTAAGGCTAATTAGATTGATAACATACAGTTTTTTCATTAAATTGCTTATACCTTGCCATAAACTTGATTTTTATTTATTTATTTATGAAGACAGGGGGATTATGTTTTAGCAGCACAGGGAATTTTCCTCCACGTATCATTTCAGCTGCACGTTATGGAGAACTTGTGAGTATGTTTCAGTTTTTTTTTTGTTGTTGTTGTTCCACTAAAGATCTTCATTTCTTCCTTTGGTAATTACTTTGAGACTAAAATAAGAAACATTTATGTATAAATCCCTTTACAACAGAAATGATCAACCTAAGAAACATTAGACTAACAGCTCATCTTTGTAATTTATAACTACAGTACTCTTTTACGCACTTTTGCTTGGTCCTTTTTCAGTGAATCACAGAATTTCTAAGTTGGAATTGCCCTATATAGGTCCTATAAAGAATGCAGTATAATACAGATTTGAAATCCTGGATTTGTTAATTATTTGTTTGTTATTTTTAGACTTTAAGAAAGTTAAGTAACATTTCTAAACTTTAGTTTTATTGTTTATAAATTAGATATAATAATTATATATATGTCACAGTGCCTGTACATGATAAGCACTGGAAAAATGAGGATTATTAATATGTTGTCAGGTTCCTTACTTTGTATATTAGAATATTTGGGGCCCTCTAGAGTTAGAGTTTTTACAACAGATGCTGGTAATGACAAGCATTTGCGAAACTAGAAGTAAGTGGATGAATTGGAACTTGAAACAGTTTCTTGTGGCTGCTGTAACAAATCACCACAAATTTGATAGCTTAAAACAATAGAAATTTATTCTCTCACCCTTTTCTGGTGGCTAGAAATCAGAATCAAGATGTCGGAAGGGCCATGGTGCCTCTGAAGGGCCTATGAGAGAATCTTTCTTTGCCTCTTCAAGTTTCTGGTAGCTCTGGGTGTTTCTTGTCTGATGGCAGTATGACTTCAGTCTCTTGCCTCCGTCTTTACCTAGCTTTCCTCTCTGTGTCTCTGTGTCTTCACTTCTTTCTTGTCATTAGACTTAGGGCTCATCCAGTTAATCTAGGGTGATCTCTTCTTCAGATCCTTAATGATATTTACAAAGACACTTTTTTCAAATAAGGTCACATTCTCAGGTGCCAGGGTTATGATTTGGATGTACCTTTTTGGGGACAACATCCAACCCACTATAAAATAAAAGGAGTTAAGGTTCAGAGAGAATAGGGGTTGGATGAATTTTTTACATGAACGTTGAAAAAATTTCCATGTGAGCATTAGAATGGATAGGCTGTGATCTAGTTGCCGATGTCATTATTGAATAGGTCAGAGTGATTGGGAGGGCTGTGAGGATAGCAATGATGAAGTTAAAATCTGGGATCCTGATAAACAAGAAAAAATACCTCCCCTCTAGTATACTCTTGTGGGGGTAACAGACAAGTACCAAATAATTGCAACAATAAGATAAATGTTAACATAGATGTATATGTAAGGAGCTTTCAGACCACTGAAAGTTGGCTCAGTAACTTCTCTGTAATAAGATGCATGTCTTCTGGAGAATTCTTCCCCAATGTTGGATTACTGTGATCTTCTGTGTACAGTTACTAAATTGATAGGTCTCTAATTTTCTTTTTTAAAATAATTCAACTTGAAATTATTTTGCCCAAAGCTCGAACAATATCTCTTTTTCCTATCTGGTCCAAAAAATCATAAAACAAAACCCACTGCCATAGAGTCAATTCTAACTCAAAGTTACCCCCATTGGGTTTCTGAGGCAGTACATCTTTACAGAAGTAGATTGCCCCATCTTCCTTCTGTGGAGTGGCTGGTGGGTTTGAACCACCAATCTTCTGGTTAGTAGTCAGATGCCTTAGGCACTGCACCATAGGATCCCCAATTATTTAAAAATCATGTCCCTTCCATCTCTTCCAGTCTGAAACAGTTTTTCAGTCTTGTTTTCCATGACCTTGGCAGTTTTGAAGAGTACAGGCCTTACAATATGTGGGACAATATTTATGCAATATCTATATAATCCTAAGTGGTAAAATTAAGCAATGTTACAATGTGATACTAAGTTAGAATCTGTTTTGTGTGTGTATGTATGTGTGCATCTTTTTATATTATTGAAAAGGGCATAATAAGTTTTTGGATATTAGATCCACTTTTTCTCCTTGTTTTTATTGCTTAAGTGATACAAGTTTGAAATGCACTCCTATTTGTAAGAACTGACATTGCTGAGCATTAATTCTTATCTCCTGTTAGAATTTATTTTTCTGCTAACTTTGAGAAAATAATGTTACTCTGTTTTTTAAAAAAACTAATATTTTATTGTGTTTAAGGTGAGAGTTTACACAGCAGATTAGGTTCCCATTTAATAATTTCTACACAACTTATTCAGCGATGTTGTTTACATTTTCACAACATCATTAATCTCTTTTACTCTTTTCTGATTGTACCATTTCTAGTACTCTAGTTTCCCTACCCCCTTACCTTCTCATCTTTGCTTTAGAATATTTTTTTCTATTTGGTTTCCTATAGATGATTTTTCTTAAAAAGTAATGTTACTTTTTTTCCTATTCAACAGTAAGTATATTAGCATCTTCCACATAGTGTGGAGTTAAGGAATCTTCATTTGAATTTAAAACTGAAACTCATCTTTTGTTTATAGGGCATGTCTTTCACTTCAGAATGGTTTGCAAAGTATTTGCAATCATCGGCAGCTGCTTGTTGGGTAAGTTTGAAATTTTAAAAATACCCTATTTCATTTTGAAGAACCATGGTACCATTTTCACCAAGATGATAAAAGTTTTCTAACTAAGTAGACTTATCTCCTCTATTATATATTTTTTAAGAAGAATAAATCTTTCTTAGTGGATTGAAGGAGAATACATAAAGATGATGTTATTCATTATATATACATTTGATGTCCCCACACTTAATTGATCATCTAGTGCATGCTAAGCCTTGTTCTCAAATTGGGTTATGTATTTCAGAAAAAGACAAAATACCTTATGGAATTATATTCTAAGTAAATGTTAGGTGGTGCTAGGTGCTATGAAGAAAAGTAAATTAAGAGGGAAAGGATAGAAAATGGGAGAGTATGCTATTTTATATAGGGTAATGAGGAACAGGGAGTCCTGGTGGCACAGTGATTAAAGTGTTCCACTGCTAACCAGAAGGTCAGCAGTTGGAACCCACTATCCACTCCACTGGAGAATAATGTGACAGTGTGCTTTCATAAAGATTTATAGCCCATAAAACTCTATGACCAGTTCTACTTTGTCCTGTAGGGTTGCTGTGAGTCAGAATCTTTTTTGATGGCAGTGGGTTTGGTTGGCTGTGAATCAGGTACAGTGTCTCTGGAAGGATGATATTTGAATGAAGACCTCAAGGAAGTGAGAGAGAGAGCACCATGCAGATGTCTAGAGGAAGAGTAATCTAAGTAGAGGCCACATACAGCAAGATGAAAGGTCCAGAGGCAGGAGCTTGCTGAATAGTTCATGATTAAGAAACAGCAAGGAGACTGGAGTGGCTGGAGCACAGTTAGCAGGGAAAGTGGAGAGAAGATGAGGTTAGAGAGGCAGGGAGAGGCTGTGGCAAGGACTTGAAATTTAAGAGATGGAAGAATTTTGTGCAAAGGAGAATGTGGCCTAAATTATAGTTTTGAAAGGATCACTCTAGCATGGAGAGTAGATTTAGTTAGCCCAAGGACAGAAGCAAGGAGGCTGATAGGAGAGTATTATAGTAGTACCAAGTGAGAGGTAGTAGAAGCTTAGATAGGAGTGGTAGCCATGGAAGTGAGTAGAAGTGTTTAGCTTCTGGATATACTTTAAAAATTGAGCTGATGAGATTAGCTGGTGAGTTGAATATGGGTAGGGAGAGCAAGAAGATTATTCTGATGCTTTTTACATAAATAATTGGAAAATTAGAGTTGTCTTTTCCTCAGTTAGGGAAATTTGAGAAAGGAAAAATTTGAGGATCAGAATCAACAAATCATCTCATTTTGTTGTTCATAAAATAAATTACTTAAACAAAAAGGAGTAGATTTATATGTATAGAATCTAATATGCAAATAATTTTTTTCAAATATAAATATTTAATAGTTTTTTAAAATATCATGCTATAAAGTTTTACTTAGTTCTTTCATTAGCTCGGCTTTATATATTGCCTTGAAATTTACATTTAAAATGTGCACATTATTCCTCTATCATATAAATGTTTTGTTTCTACTTAAGCTAGAAGAAAGGTGTTAGAGAGGCAAAGGAATTTACAGAAGAATGACACCTATTCCTTACTTACAAACTATCTAGTTATCTGACATTTCAAATTTATGACAATAGTAAAAATATCCAATTATTTTGTGCATTAACAACATATGGCTCACAGTAATGAATATCAAGGTGCAATGGACTCAGACATAGCAAAGATTGTGAGAATGGAATGGGACCGGGCAGTGTTTCTTTGTACTGTGCATTGGGTGTACCTTAGGCACCGTGCCATAGGATCCCCAATTATTTAAAGGACATGTCCCTTCAGTCTCCTCCAGTCTGGAACAGTTTTTCAGTCTTGTTTTCCATGACCTTGGCAGTTTTGAAGAGTACGGGCCTTACAATATGTAGGACAATACTTATGCAATATTTATATAATCCTAAGGGAGCTCTGGTAGCGTAGTGCCTAAGGCACTTGACTGCTAACCAGAAGGCTGGTGGTTCAAACCCACCAGCCACTCCTCGGAAGGAAGATGTAGCAATCTACTTCCGTAGTGATACTGCCTCGGAAACCCAAGAAGGGGTCGCTATGAGTCGGGTCCGACTCGATGGCACATAACAACAACAACAACAAAGTGGTAAAATTAAGCAATGTTACCAACATAATACTAAGTTAGAATCTGTTTTTTTTGTGTGTATATGTGTGTGCATCTTGTTTTTATATTAGTGAAAGGGACATAAGTTTTTGGATATTAAATCCACTTTTTGAATCAGAACTGACAACAGCACCTAACAACAACAGTGACATGATTTGTTAATTGTATAATGATATAACAGTCCAGTTGTGTAGTTATGTAATTTGGCAGTTATTTAATGATATAGTCATTCTCCATTTTGTGACCTGATGTGGGCATCCCTAATTTTCGCATAACACCGGTATTTGTGTTAACGACTTGGTTTTTGGAACCTAACCATGTCAATAAATGAGGAGTGGTTGTAGCATAAGTAAAAGTAAAACTAAAAAAACAAAACTCACTGCCATTGAGTTGATTCCAACTCATAGTGACCCCATTGGGTTTCCGAGGCTATAAATCTTTACGGAAGTAGATTGCTCCGTCTTCTAAAGTCAAGCATAATTTTTCATATCAACTTTTGCTTGGGGTATTAAGATCTAGGTTACATTTATTTGCTATTGTTCTCTTGTAGGTATATGCCAATCTAACATCTTGCCAAGCTCTGGGAAATATGTGTGTGATGAACATGAATTCTTATGACTCTGCCACTTTTGATGCATGTCGACTATTTCATTTTATCTTCGAAAACACTGTTGGGTTAAGGACTGTTCATTCTGTTTCATTTTGGTAAGGACATTTTAATTGGTGAAACATCATTTTGACTGAATCTAGTCAAAATGTTACTTTCACAAACATAAGAAATAATGCTTATATCATTAAAACAATTATAATTGTTTATAGGAGACAGAATCTTCCATGGCTGTTCTATGGAGACCAGCTAGGATTAGCACCTCAAGTACTCAGTACTACACCACTTCCTACAAATTTCAGTTTTAAAGGGCAAAACCAGGTACAAGTGACTGTATTGTTAAAGAATAAGTACATTTTAATTTATAATTTTAAAAGATAGTGAAAAAATTTCCAGTTAAAATTCATGCTTCTTTAGGTTATTTAGAATATTGGTTACCAAACTAAATATAAATAACTCCTTACAGGACCTGAATAATGTAGAGTTTAGCTGTTTTGCTTGAATACACGAATACCTTTGGATTGTGTGGTTATGGTAGAAATTAGTGCTTTTATGGTTGGGAAAGCTAGTTTTCATTATCAAATGCAAAACAATCTCTGTCCTTCTGTATCTCCACATGTTTAAGAAGTGTTTTCCAGTAATTTGGGCTCTGGGACATTTCCCAGCCATACCAGGTTCAACTTCTCACCTCCAATTTTTGACTTTCTAGAGTGAAGGAATAAGATTATTCCTCCTCATCTCCTTTGCTACCATTTAACAGGTTCAAGGGGAGGTTCTCTGTCAGCAGCACTGTCCCTCAACTCTGAAATGATAATTTTTGTACAAACACTAGACCAATTCTCTTAGGTGTGTTTGATCGTAGAGATAGATTAATTTAGCTTCAGAATAAAGTTATCACCTATTATAGTACATCATTGGAAAAAGAAAGGATGAGTCAACAATGAAAATTTCTTTATTGAACACTTTATTGCTTTTAGAGTATGTAATATTATTTTATTCTTATTTTTTTTTTAATCAGAATACAAAACTGAAGTTTGTTGCTGCTGCTTATGATGTAAGAGGAAATTTTATCAAGTGGCAAACTTTAGAAGGAGGTGTTTTACAGGTGAGCATGATTCTAGCTAAAGAAGTAGTAATGTGTCCTACTTTTGACTGAGGCAAAGATGAGAATAAAGGTCTAGATTATTGCTTGAATAGAGCAACAGTTGCATGCTACAGTTGATTTTTTTCTTGAGCTTTAAACTGGAATTTTTTTTTTTTCCAAATTTTTATTGTGATTCGGGTGAACATTTACAGAGCAAATCCATTTTCCATACAGCAGTTCACATACACTTTGTCTCATGACATTGACTGCACTTCCCACAATGTAATAGCTCTCTTCCCACTTCCTCCCCATAGGTACCTCTTCCCTGTGCCCTTCCCTCCGATGCACTCCTGCCCCCTGAGCTGTCTCCCTGTGCATTCACAGCCCTTCTATTCTCCCATGATTGATCTCTCCAAGGAGTAAATCTGCCTAATGTAAATGTGCAGCTCATATGCCTGTCTTTTGTTTGGCTGGGGGCCACAGGAGTGGGTTCAATTTAAACTGGAATTTCTTAAAACTCTTTAAATTATGACTAATTTATAACAAAAATGTTCCTTTAATTTGCATACCCTTGATAAATTAAGTAAGAATTAAATAAGGCATGTATCCACATTAGGGCTTAAGGGCTCTTGGATGTAAGCAAATAAAATATTTTTGTATTCTTGTGAAAGATACTTACCATTTTATTCACCTGCTGTAGCTTTGTCCAGACACAGAGACAAGACTAAATGCTGCTTATTCTTTTGGAACAACCTATCGACAAAATGTAAGTGTGAACTATATTAGTTTATATTTTAAGCTTCATTTTAAAAAGAGGATCAGCACTAATCTAAATTTTTGAATTTTCAAAATTGGAAATGTTTTTAATACAAGTGAATAATTTCATTGATTGATACAATTTTTTATTATTTGGGTTCAGAACATATTTGGGCATGGAACATCTTAATTTAATCAGCATAAAAGCATATCTTATTACCTATAGAATCTTAAACATAATGTTTCTGTTGTGAGTTGCCACTGAGTCACTTATGGCCCATGGTGACCCCATGTGTGGGAGTAGAGCTGCTCTGTAGGATTTTCAAGGCTGTGACTTTTTAGGAGAAGATTGCCAGGCCTGTCTTCCAGTGTACCTCTGGGTGGGTTTGAACTGCTGTCCTTTCCACTAGTAGTCAAGTGCTTAACCAGTGTGTCACCCAAGGACTAAGTGTGATGTTGTATTAGATTTTAACAGTCAGTGTTCATTTGCTTTTAGATTACAGGTCTTAAAAATAATGGTTACTCTTCCTAGTGATTAATAAAAATACTACTTTTTCTTCCATGCCTCACCGAGAGCAAGTAAAAATGTTTCCCTCTCTCCCTCCGTACTTTTCTCTCCCTTAACCTTCTTTCCATTGGTAGCTTATTGTGTGGGTCAGAGGAGCGCTGATGGCACAATAATTGAGGGCTCATCTGCTAACTGGAAGATTGACAGTTCAAACCCACCAGCTGCTCTGCAGGAGAAAGATGTGACAGTCTTCTTCCTCAAAGATGACATTCTTAGAAACCCTGGGGGGCAGTTCTACTTTGCCTTATAAGGTCATTATTAGTTGGAATTGATTCAAAGTCAGCAGTTGGTCCTTAAGATAGCTTTGTGAGGTACATATTATTTGTACTTCACTGATAAGGAAAGGTACTGCTAAAGGTACAAAGAGAAAGCATCTTCTGCCCTCCTCTAACTACACAAGAGGAGGACTGAATCACCATCAGCAGCCCAAAGCCTGTTCTTATGAGGCCAGATACGCCACCACCCTCCATCCCTCTTATTAACCTTGACCCTAACTGTCCCTCCCAAGCACCCACCACCTCTCTGCTGGGTGAGATAATTTGCTGCAGTGGTCACACAGAGCTCACAGGTTATGGGGTTTATTAGGGAAGCAACAGGCTACAATTCTAGTTCAGGAATGCACTCAGTCTCTCTCAGTTGGTTGTCTCAGCCAGCTGTCTCTCTCAGCCAGCAGTCTTAGCAGCACGTCTCTCTCTCAGCAGTACATCTTTCTCTCTGCAGCACATCTCTCTCATCTCTCTTTCTCAGCAAGCATGTCTCTCTCAACCAGCAGTGCAAGAGAGAGATTCCTTCTGTCTCTTGGAGGGTTCATTTTGAGGTTGGCATAGTGGCAAAACTAACCAATCCCAACATCAGAATTCTACACACCTGAGAGAGAGCGAACTTTCCCAGAAGATTGCTTCATGCTGGTCCAACAGAAATATACCAGGTGGATAACTTTAACAATCAGCTGCTCAGTTGCCCACAGCAAAGTGGGAGTTACAAAGACTATGGCTTGAAAAGCCATACCATGTAATATAATACACTGCATGTACTCAATAAGATTATGTAATTTATCCAATGTCTTCAGCAAGTAAATTGTAGAGCCATTGTTCTGTTAGGTCGAAAAATCATGATTTTTACGTTGAACCTAGCTACCTTTCAAGAAGTTCACAGCCTTGTACAAAAAACAGCTGTATAGCCAAAAAATTGCAAAGAACATGCTAAGAGTTACTCTATAAGTAGGTATAAGAGACTATGTAGGTACATAGGAAAGGGCCATCCGCAGCTCCTGAGGAAATACAGAAAGGCTGTACAGAGTGAGTACTAATTGGGCTTATAGACTCAGTGTGAGTTTGCCAGGAAAGCACAGTGGGGAAGGGAATGTCAGACAGAAGAAACAATATCTGTAATGTCAGAAAAACATAGACTAGGATAATAAGTTTAAGGCACTGCAAGTAGATCAGTATGAATGGCCCATGGGAAAAGTGGGAGATAAGCCTGGTTCAAGCAAGAGCCTAACCGTAGATGGCACTGTACATCAGGAGAAGGAATTTGGACCTCCCTTTGGAGGATAGTTTCTAAACCTTTTCATTGATATCTTATACAGTTAATGTTGAAAATGAAGGCACATCCTCTCCAGCTGGGTTGTAGCAAGAACTAGGTAGTTCTTTACTATTAATTTTTTTGATGCTTATAAAAGAATATTTAAAGTATTCATATGTTTTGGAAGGCACATGGAAATGCATGTAAACAAGATCGTTTAAAGATGCTTAATTTTATAAAACTGGAAATAAAAAAACACTTTGAAAAGAAAATAAATATGAATTTTAATTTTTAATTGTGATGCTTTTATGTTTAATTTTAGTTTTATTTTTCCAGTGCGACATTCGTATTTCTAAGATTCTAACTGACTTTCCCACGCCTATATTTTATGATGTATACCTCGAATATACTGATGAAAATCAACACCAATATATTTGGGCTGTGCCTGTGTTAAACCTGAATCTTCAATACAATAAATTATTTGTGAACAAAGGTAAGACATCCATACTCTTTTTCTGAGCTAAAACCAATACATAAGTCAGCCAATAAGATAACTTAATAAACCATGGATTATACAAAGGTCATGGATTGTTTCTTATTAAATGGATCTATATAGCGTGATCAAAAAGAAAACATAAAATTGATGATTTAGAAGTTTTTACTCAGTATATCAGGAATATTGTTAAGAAATTAAACTATTTTCAAGATTATATTCTGAGAAAAATTAGTAGAACTAATTAATTACTAAATAGGGGTACCTTCTTCAAGTTGTCCTTGAGCAGCTTTTTGGACAGATTTGTTTCTTTTAATGGTTTTCCATATTATAAAATCCTGCTTATTCAGGTAACTTTCAAGGAATACTCTTTCAGATGATGAAAAGTCCAGACAGAAGATGTTCATATGAGGTAGAAAAGACAGGATGTTCATGTGAGGTAGAAAAGACAGAAGATGTTCATGTGAGGTAGAAAAAACTTAACAAGAACTCTTTACAGCAGTAGATCATTTTGCAGCCATCTTATCCAAAACAGAACGTACTAACTTTGTATTTTAAATTTGTTCAGTAAACTTGGAAGCAATCTTGAATAATTTCAGTGTTGGCTTTTTTAAAACCATTTTATTGTATAATTTATATACCATAAAACATACCAATTTTAAGTGAATAACTCAGTGATTTGTAGTAAATTTACAAAGTTGTGAAACTTACCAGAAGCCAGTGTCAGAACACTTCTGTCACCCCGAAATAATCCCTCATGACTGTTTCTGGTCAGTTCTTAATCCTGCCTGCAGGTCTAGGCAACCACTAATCTGTTTCTGTCTCTATGGATTTGGTTTTTTCTGTACATTTCATGTAAAAGGAGGCATACAACATGTAGTCTTTTGCATCTACCTTTCACTTCATTTAATGTGTTTGAAGTTTATCCATATTATAGCATGTATCAGTAGCAATCCTTTTTACTGCTGAAAAGTACTCCATTGTATAGATGTACTACGTTTTGTTACCCATTCACCAGTTGATGGACATTTGCATTGTTTCTCATTGTGGCTATATTGAATAATGCTGCTGTGAACATTCATGTATCAGTCTTTGCATGGACATATGTTTTTATTTCTCTTGAGTATTTACCAAGGTTTTTTTTTCCCCTCCCCTTAATGCCAATCTTTAATTTTCTTTTTATGATAAAAGACAGTAGTTCTGGCAAATGGCTCCTGACTCGGCGCATTTTCTTAGTGGATGCAGTAAGTGGACGAGAAAATGACTTAGAAGGTCACCCAAGAGTAATTCGAATTGCTACCCAAATATCACTGAGGTAAACAAATGTCCAATGCACTAAATTAGGCATAAAGTATATGGGAAAATATCATAATGAAAATGTTTATCTTTAATTATCAGATGAAAACAGTAAGGACACTGAATTGCAACAATATATAAGATATTTTAAAGATATCTATATAGATTGATATACACCAATAGAGGTGAAGAACCCAGGGGAAAATTATATGAGAACATCTTAAGGAGTTTTGTTAAAATTCACAGGCTAGGCCTCACTCTAGACCTGATAAATTAGAATGGGGTTGAAAGGTGAATATCAGTGGGCTGAAATGGTACTTTAGAGTGGGTGTAGCAGATGATCATTCTAGGCAGACTTTTCCCCTCATTGTCTCCTTTAAGAATCTCTGTTCTAGATTGATCTAGTTCATTATCAATACATACCTCTTTTAAGGATAGCACATTAACTATGACCCTACTAGGGTAATGCCATATAGTCCATATTTCTTTATCTTTACCAGTGTTGAGATTCTTGTCTCCTTAAGATGTTGATTGATTTGCCTACACTTGTGTTTTATGATGGGTTCCTTGAATACACTGATGAAAATTAACACCACCGTCATGTATTAGTTTGGAACTTTGAAGCAGTTCAGTATACATTATTTTCTTCCACTGTTTATTATTTCATATTGATTCTCATAACAATCTTAACAAGTTACACAGTACAGAAGCTTTGTCATGTATCTTACTGAAATCCAAACGTACTGTGATATGAGAATTCCTTCAGTCCGCCATTGTAGTATCCAAAACAGACAATCTAATTAACCTGACTTGATGTTAGTGAAACCAGGCTGGCCCCTAATGATTGACATTTTCCTTTCTGAGTTCACAAACTATGCAATACTAATGCATTAAACACAGCAAAATATAACCTACTATATGCCAGAAACAGTACTAGATCTGACACAATTTTGTTAATAATTCATCTTTCTTTTTGAAAGTCAAGACATTATCTGCCTTTCTTTAGGCTCCCTATAGCATTTCTCATTTGAGAATTCCTCAAAGATGGTTCACAGTGTTTTCATCTGTAAATTTCATAGCATCTGGATTGAAGAGTTTCTAATTTGTCTTAACAGGGCATGATGTTTAACCACTTACGGTACATCCTATGTTTTTATCATTAGTTCATGTTGAGTCATACCCAGTTCTTAACTCATTGGTTCTGAGATCATCAAGACAATCTATATTAAATTAAAAATGAATGATATGTAAAATTATGTTTGAGGACCTAGGTATTTATATTCTTTGTAACTAGAAATGTATTTTCATTTAAGTAGCATCCATCTTGTACCCAACACAAAAAATGGAAACATCTACCCCCCCTTAATTACCATTGCCTACAATGACATTGAAATCAAAGATCCCAACCTCCAGTCCGTGAAGGTGAGTTCTTTACTTATTTTAGTGCCCTTGTATATGTTAATGTAATAGAGATACAGTTTACATTATGGTCAAAAGACAGTTTTTTTCAAGTTTCAAATAAACTGTTCTGTATATATAGGCATCTTAACTATTTTTTACTAGTGATGGTAAGACTCCTGAGTATAAAAAAGCAAGAATTCAGTTTTTTAGTAGATAACATCACTAGCAGTCATCTGTCCCTGTTAAGAATCCTGATGTGTGTTGAGATATTGCATGTCCGCTCTTGTCCTTTTTGACCAACTTGCTTCTGTCAAAATTTTACCTCCTTGCCAAATTAAGCCGGGAACATAAACTTTATATTGAGTATGTATGTTCTCTTCTCACCAGTCCATAGCCCACTTGATAGGCAGAAGATTAAAATGATCAGCTTTATAACTAGTAGTGTTAGAGTGAAGTAGAGAATGCAGTTTGGACCTGAAGCCAGATAGACTTCTTTCTGCTTCCCCACCTGAGATAAACTTACGCACAGAACTAAAGACCTCTTGCTTGGGAGGGCCTGTACACAGATAGGAGACCTTGTATACCCTGAAGACAGACTGTCCCAAAGAAAAGGAGCCTGGACAAAACTGAGCTGCACAGGCTCAGTTCCTCCTCTTAGCCTCATCAGTTACATGAAAAAAAGCATCCTTGCTTTGAGGAGGGTTAAACAGGGAAAGGTAGAGTTAAAAACCAGAGGTTATCCTTGTATGCTCTTTTCCTCCTAAAGACTGAGTGGATATTCCTGTCCTCTCTAGAACAAGAAAAGTCCAGGATAAGCATTCCTCACCTCCATGGCTCACTAATAGCTTTTCAATTATACTGTTTTACTTCTTTGAATTTTAATGTTTAGTTCCTTTAGCTAGTGCTTTTGGCCTCTCTGTTATACTTGCATTCATTTGCTATTGGATTCAGGCTTTAATTAAGCAAAAAGTAGATGTATAATATAATTTTTAAAGATTTTTCCTTCCTCATTTGTATTACCTAATGTTGGCTAAGGCACTTGACTGCTCACCAGATGGCTGGCGGTTCAAACCCACCAGCCACTCCTTGGAAGGAAGATTGGGCAATCCTACTTCCGTAGTGATACTGCCTCGGAAACCCAAGGAGGGGTCGCTATGAGTCAGGGCTGACTCGACGGCACATAACAACAACAACAACGTTAAATTTCGTTTCTACTACATGAGCTTATATACACCATGATGAGAGGGGGAAAAAAATCTAAAAACATGCTTAATAACAACAAAAAACTGCATAGTTAAAAATTTCCTAGAGTGATCAAGAGTTGGGGGTGGTGGTAAATATACATGTAACAAGGCATTTGCCATTTCAACGGTCTTGATAAGTACAGTTCACTGAATTAATTTTGTTCATCATGTTGTTCATCTATCACCTTTATCCATTCCCAAATTTTTCCAACAAGTATATTTTTAATATAAAACATTTCAGGGTCTTTTCTTTTAATATTATCCTTGTCTAAACTATTAGAAACTAATCCTTGATACACCGGAAAATAAATTTAAAAAGTTGAAAGATTCATGAAACTATGCTGAGGAGACTCACCTCAAATTTACTGTGGTTGTAAAACATACAGCTGTTTCATCATTTCTTGTCTCATGTCAGCTGAAAGAAATAGGTCTTTCTGTAGTGATACTGCCTTGAAAACACAAGGAGGGGTCGGTATGAGTCGGGATTGACTAGACGACAGTGAGTTTGGTTTTGGTTTTATTTTGCTGAACAGATCAAGTCTATACATATGATTTCTTTTTTTGTTTGTTTGTTTAAACATTTCGTTGTGTTTGAGTGAAAATTTACAGAGCAAATTAGTTTTCCATTCAATAATTTTTACACATTTTGTTTTGCCACATTGATTGCAATCCTCTCACTATAACAGCACTCTTCCCACTTCCTCCTGGGCTCTATATTTCTAGTCATCCTTCTTTCCTGCTCCTTCCTGCCTTTTGAGCATTGTCTTTAGGTAAATGCTGCCCTTTTAGTCTTGCTTAGTTGACTGTATTGATGAGTAGTTCCTCCCTCGTATTGTTACTCACTTCATAGGCCTGTCTCCTGTTTGACTGAAATTGATCCACAGGAGTGAGTTCAGTTTCAGGCCTGAAGGGTGTGTAGGGGGTCATAGTCTTGGGAGTTCCACTAGTCTCTATCAGACCAGTAAATCTGGTCTTTTTGAATTTTGATTTTGAATTTTGTCCTGCTTTTTTTTTTTCTCCCTCTCTGTTCAGGACCACCTTCTATTGTGTTCCCATTCAGAGCAGTTGGTAGTGGTAGCCGGGCACCATATAGTTCTGGTCTTGAGGTAGTGGAGGCTGTGGTTCGCTTGGTCCATTAGTCTTTTAGACTAATTGTTTCCTTGTGGCTTTGATTTTCTTCACTCTTCTTTGCTCTGGATGGGGAGAGACCAATAGTTGCATGGCTCAAAAAAACCCAAGTTTTTATAGTTGACTGCTCAAAACTTTTAAGACCACAGTTGCTACTTACCAAAGTAGGATATAGAATGTTGTCTTTATAGACCCTTATTATGCCAGTTGACCTAGATGTCCCCTAAGACTGTGGTCCTAAGTCCCTAAGCCCAGGGACTCATTCTCTCAAGGTGTTTGGTTGTTGCTAAGTTTTCAAAACTTTGCCCCCTGTATGTTCTACTATATCCTTGGATATGTTTGTAGCACATGCAGATTCATCTGTAGAAATATGCTCTGCCAAACCTATATATACTCATGAGTATGCTCCCATTTGCCTTCTCACATCTCTTCAGCTTGCATGACTATCTAAGTATCTACTCACAGATATTTGTTGTTACTGTTATTGCAGGATTGTGTCAGTGATGATGTTTACCACTGTTGCCTTTTACTCTTGTGTATCTCACAGTGTCTTCCTTTGTCTTGGTCATATTGTGCTTAACTAACTCAAACTCACTGCCATCGAGTTGGGTCTGACTCATAGCGACCCCTCCTTGGGCGGTGTTAGGAGACAGTATCGCTACGGAAGTAGATTGCCCAACCTTCCTTACAAGGAGTGGCTAGTGGGTTTGAACCACCAACCTTCTGGTTAGCAGTCAGATGCCTTAGGCACTATGCCATCAGAGCTCCCATGTTATACTTATCTCCCCTTTATTATATATTGCCTTTCCCTTCACCCAAGTTAATACAAGTATACTCTCCAGTGATTAACACTTTTCTTTTCCCGTCCAGGTAACCATCCAAGAATGCTTCTCTCTGTGTGTCAATCTTATCTTGACTTTTTATAAGTGATCTCATATAATATTTGTCCTTTAATGATTGACTTGTTTTGCTCAGCATAATGTCCTCCAGATTCATCTATGTTACAGGATGTTTCACAGATTCATCGTTTTTCTTTAATGTTGCGTGGTATTCCATTGTGTGTTTGTTTATCCATTTATCTATTGAGGGGCACTGAAGTTGTTCCCATCTTTTTGCTATTGTGGATAATAACTGTGATGAACATGGATGTGTACATACTTATTTGTATCATGGGTTTAATTTCTCTAGGACATATAGCTAGTAATAGGATTTCTAGATCATATATTTCTATTTCCAACTTTTTAAGGAACCACAGTGGTTGTGCCATTTTGCAGTCTCACCAGCAGTGTAAGAAAGTTCCATTCTGTCTACATTCTTGCCAGCATTTGTTGTTTTCTGTTTTTCTGAACCTTGTTATTAATGCTGAGGTGAAATGATAACTCATTATTGTTTTCATTTACATATCTCTAATGGCTAAGACTCAGTGGCTGCAACGATGGGCTCGGGTATAGCAAAGATAGTGAGGCTGGCACAGGATCGGGCAGTGTTTCGTTCTGTTGTGCGTAGGGTCACTATGAGTCGGAGGCTACTCGGTGGCACCTGACAACAACAGTGGCTAAGGATTATGAGCATTTCTTCAATGTGTTTGTTTTCTGCCTGTATATCTTCTTTGATGAAATGTCTGTTCATGTTCTGTGCCAATTTTTTATTAGTTTGTTTGCCTTTTTGTTGTTGAGGTGTTGAAGTTTTCTATAAATTTTAGACATTAGTCCTTTGTCAGATACGTTGTTGATGATAATATTTTCAGTCTGTATGTTCTCTTTTTCTCCTTTTGGAGAAGTCTTTTGATGCGCATAGGCATTTAATTTTTAGGACAATCCAGTCATCTAGGTTTTCTTCTGCTGTTTATGCATATTTAGTTAGTTTGATAGTATATTTATGCCCTGTATTAGGTTCCCTAAGTTTCCCCCTACTTTTTCTTTGATGATCTTTATATTAAGTTTACATTTAGGTCTTAGATCCATCTTGAGTTAGTTTTTGTATATAGTATGAGGTATGGATCCTCATTTTTCTGCAAATGGATATCCTGTTTAGATTTCCTTGTTAATACTTCAGAATCTCCATTTTCATTATCTTACGCTTCTCTTGTGTCTGTTTCTAAGAAACAAGGACCCTTTCTTTTAAGTTAAGCTCCCAACTGTTTATATTATTTTCTCTAGTATCCTGTTTCATCCCTAGCCCTTTATTCAGTCAGCCTCTCTGATGGTCCTTTTCCTTTGCTTATACAAGCTCTGAGGTTCCCCATCTTAAAAACAAACTAAGTCAACCAACCAACCAAAATCTTCCCTCAATTCTACCACCTCTCCAGTCTGCTATTGTATCTCTTTCTTTCATTTTTCAACCATTTTATTTCTTAGAAAACCTCTTTCATGAAAGTCTACTATGACTTCCACATATTAAAACCCATTGCCATGGAGTCAATTCTGACCCATAGTGACCCTATAGAGCAAAGTACAACTGCCTCCGTAGTGTTTCCAAGGTATAATCTTTTATAGAAGTAGACTGCCTTGTCTTTATCCTGTAGGGTGGCTGGTGGTTTTGAACCACTGACCTTTTGGATAGTAGCCTAGTGCTTTAACCATACCACCACCAGACCTCTTCCTTCCACATACAAAGGCTTTTTTCTTTAACTTGATGTTTTTACAATATTAAACACTGTACTCATAACCTCCCCCTTCTTCATGAAACTCCCTATTCCTTGACTTTGACAAGACTTAGGTATCTTGCCTCTTTTACCTCCAACGGTCCTACTTCTCTTATTCTTTACTGGTTCATCTTTCTGTCCCATAATGCAGTATCCCTAAGACTCTTATTCAGTCCTTTGATTAACCTGCCTTTTTAGAGTATGATTGTTTGTCCATTTGCTAAGTTTTTGATCATAATATCAGCCACATTTCTCAGTTATAGAAACCTATCATAAAGTGAAAGATCATTAATTTGGATTGAAATGTTAATGGACCTCACCTAGCTTCCAGTGAATCCCTCTTTCTTTAATGTGTGTTCAGGAGAGATTATTAAAGTAGCATGGATAATACCTAAAAACATACCCATTAATATATCAATAATAGTTAGCTCTAGTAATGTTGATGGTTGAAAAGTATGGCATTTATGGTAAAAATCCAGCTTCAAATATATTTGTATAATGAGAGTAGGTTTGTATTACATAATTTCACTATGACTAATTTGCTTTCTTTTAAATATCAGGTTTCTTTCTCAGTCAGCTATGAGATGAATCAAGGAGAGGCACATGTCCAGACAGATGTGAGTTTATTTTAACCTGTTAAAATATTTTTTCTGTAAATTTTTTATTGTGAGTTGGGTGCACATTTACAAAGAAAATTCGTTTTACTCTCAACAGTTCATGCATATTTGATTTCACAGCTCCCCAACCATAAAAAGCTCTCCTCCCATCTCCTCCCTGTGACTTGCCCTTCCCTGTGCCCTTCTTGTCTATGCTTTTCTGCCTGTCCAGGTTTCCCTCTGCGAATACTACCCTTTTGATGGCTCATGGTTGATTCATTTAAGGGGTGCATCTTCCTAGGGTAGGTGGGTGCATCTCCCCAGGATAGATGTTCAGCTTGTAGGTCTTTCTGCTGTTGGGCTGAGAGCTAATCTGCAAAAGTGAGTCCATTTCCAGGCCTGAAGTCTCAGGGGTTCCACCAGTTTCTATCCAACCAATGTTTCTGGTCACTTTTGTGTTTTTGAATTTTGTTCCACATTTTTCCTCCTACTCTATCCAGGATCTCCAATTTTGATCCCTTTCTGAGTGGTTGGCATTGGTAGCCAGGCATCATCTAGTTCTTCTGGTTAACCTGTTAAAATATTTACAGTATGTTTTTAAATTTAAAAAAACAAAACTTTAAATGTGTAGGAAAGTTCCAAAACAGTATAGCAATTCCCTTATATACTCTTCATCCAGTTTCTCCCAATGTTAACATCTTGCATGACCATAGTAAAATTACTACAATCTGTGAAAAATACTGATGCAGTCCTCTTAACTAGTCTACATACTATTTGAATTTCACCAGTTTTTTTCACTATCATCATTTTTCTGTTTTGGGATTCATGTTGCTTTTAGCTGTCATGCCTCCTTTGTCTCGTCTAATCTCTGAAAGTTCCTCGTTTTGTCTTTCATGAACTTAACACTTTTGAAGAGTTACTGGTTAATTACTTTGTAGAACAGCCCCCAGTTTGGATTTGCTTGATATTTTTTCATAATTAGATTGAGTTCATGTAATTTTGGCAAAGACACCAACAAAATGATGTGTCCTCAGTGCATTGTATCAGGAGGTACACTGATAGTATGGACTAAGTGTGTCTTCTAACTGGTCAGGTTAACTTTTGTCCTATGCTGACGGTGGTGTCTGTAGGTTTCTCCACTGTTAATCTTCCCTTTGTAATTAATAAGTATCTTTTGGAGAGATGGGAGCTCTGGTGACATAGTACCTAAGGTATTTGACTACTAACCAGAAGGCTGGCAGTTCAAACCCACCAGCCATTCCTCAGAAGGAAGGTTGGGCCGTCTACTTCTATAGTGATACTACCTTGGAAACCCAAGGAGGGGTCGCTATGAGTCAGATCCAACTCGACGACAGTGAGCTTAGTTTTTCTGGGGAGATGCTTTGAAGCTGCCAGTATCCTGTTTCTCATCATCCTTTTGCCCTCTGATTTTTGCAGCCATTGATGGTTCTTGGCTGTATAAAGTTATTACTGTGATACTTGCTTGATGGTAATTATTCCCATCATTCCTTCTATATTTATCCCTGCAATTCTGTTGTAAGGAGAAGCTGTCCCTTCTCCTCTGTGTATTTCTTTACTTGTTCAATTATTTATTTAAATCAATAGGCACTCATAGTTACTTATTTTATTCTAGTGATTGAAATCCATTACTCTCTTTTTTCTCCCTCAAATTGCCCCAGAGTTAGCTATTGGATATCTCTTCACCTTGGCTCATGTGTTCTTTCAGCGCCATCATTTCTTGAGTACTTTTTTTCTGTTTTCAGTAGCTTTAAACTTTTATGAGAGAAATTATATAAATTCTAAACTGTTCTTGTATTTTCTTTTTTAGATTGCTTTGGGTGTGTTGGGTGGGCTAGCAGTTTTATTGTCTCTTTTGAAGACAGCGGGATGGAAGAGGCGGATTGGAAGTCCCATCATTGATTTACAGGTATGCTTTCAGGAGTTTTCAAGGTGTATTTTTATCTTTTAATTATTCTGAATCATTCCTGTAAGACACAACTAGAAGAATTACATTTCTCTGGGGTATAAGACTATAAGAGGTATTACTGGGTCATAGGATATATCTGTACTTCATTTCCTTTCCACATTGTTATATGCAATCTATACTCCCATCAGCAGTCCTGTTCTTATTTCTTCACATCCTCACCAACACTTGGTAGGATAATTTTCTAGCCTTTCAGTTTTTGTCAATTTGATGATATATAAAGTCGTATTTCATTATTAATTTATTTTCATTTCTTTGGTTACTCTTCATAATCATTTGAGTTCCTCCTTCTGAGAACTGTATATATCCCTTGCTCCTTTTTCTATTAGGTTCCCAGTTTTGCTTGTTTAGTGGAAGAAGTTTTCTGTATATTCTAAATAATGAGTCCCCTTTTATATTTTGATGTTGAAATATTATCTCCAAATATATAACCATCTTGTGTTTTTTTTAACCTAAGTAGTCCCTAATTTTACAGAATTTTTACATTATCACATCTGAGTATCTTCATGTTAATGGTATATGTTTTTAGGATCTTGTTTAGGAAGATCTTTTTTATCTTAAGATCACAAAGATACTCTTCTGCATCTTATTAACTGTAGTTTTCTTCTCCTTTAATCTTTACATACATATCTATCTATCTATCTATGTAATATAAAGCTGAGTTACCTGTTTATTTGACAACTAGTCACTGAGGACCTATTGTGTAAGTGACAGTCACTATATGTATGAGGTGCAGGTGGGATGAGCTGACAAGAGTTTGCCAGAAGGAAGGAATAAGCATTTGATAAGACAATTCTCATTTTATAAAATATTAGAGTTGAAAATGTAGGGTAGTTAAGCTTTGGATAAGTGGTTTGGAACTAGCAGGTGAAGCTAGAAGGTTAATTTTGGTCCATATTGCTGAAGGACCTTGTAGATGAGAATTTATATTTGGTAGTTAGTGAGGAGTCATTTTACATTTCTAAGAAGGGGAGTAACATAACGTAATTTACATTTTATAAAGCTGTTTCTGATAGTACCATGGAGAAAACTAGAAAAAAATTAGGAAACCATTCCAGTGGTCTTAGATAGTGAAAGATGAGAAGAGCTTAAGTGAGACAGGCTGTTGGGGATGGATCAAAAGGTAAGGATCAGAAAGGTATCTAGAGGTGGATTTGCTTGGTTTTGTAACGTGAAACAAGGTTTAAAGCTTGAGAAGAAACTGCTTGGATGATACATTCTCTAAAATGGTAATATAAATCAATTGAATCTGATACTTTTAATAACTAAGTTTTTTTAAATTGCAGACAGTTATGAAATTCTTGATATACTATGCTGGCGATCTTGCCAATGTTTTCGTTATCATCACAGCGGGAATAGGTCTTTATTGGCTTATTTTCTTCAAAGTAAGTGAGTTTCTGAATTTAATCTAAATGCTAGTGTCTGAATAACTGGTTAGCCCTCTTTATAACTGAGCTGTTTTTATTTTGGGGGTATTTCCAATCAAGAGGGAGCTCTGGTGGCTCAGTGGTTAAAGTGCTTGGCTGTGAACCAAAAGGTCAGCCATTCAAACCCACTAGCCACTCCATGGAACAAAGATGTAGCATGGTAGTCTGCTACCATAAAGATTATAATCTTGGAAGCCCTATAGGGCAATTCTGCTCTGTCCTATACAGCTGCTATGAGTCAGAATCAACTCAGTGGCAATGGGTTTGGTTTTGGTTGGTTCCAATCTAGAGTATTAAAAAAACAAAAATCAAACTCACTGTCGTGGAGTTGGATCCGACTCATAGCAACCCCTCCTTGGGTTTCCAAGGTGGTATCACTATGGAAGTAGATTGCCCAACCTTCCTTTTGAGGAGTGGCTGGTGGGTTTGAACCGCTAACCTTCTGGTTGCAGTCAAATGCCTTAGGCACAGTGCCACCAGAATTGAGGCAAGTGCTAAATTTACCATTCCCTGAGCATGACATGTTTGTTAAGTAAGTGCATCACCATCTCCCTCTCTTACAGTTTGTTTTGGTTTATAAATTGTGCTTAGTAAAACCCTTGTATGAGTATATTTAACCAAGTAATTTTTACTGTAGGCACAGAAGTCTGTCTCTGTTTTCTTACCAATTCCAGTTCAGGAAGAACGTTTTATTACTTACGTGGGATGTGCTTTTGCTCTGAAGGTAGGTTTGCAAAGGATAAGTTACCAAATTTAAAAGGCCTACTAATAAACCAATAAGTCTTTAAAATTAAAATACTTTTAAAATCTTTGATGTAAAATTTCTTTGGTTTTGAAAGAAAGCATGAATTATTTAATTTCATGTGGCAAGTCTGCTTTTATTTATAGTAGCTATCTCATTCTGAATATCCATCTTAAATAATTTTTCCAAAGAATCCATTACATATGTTTGAATTACCGTGAGTTATAACTACTTTGATAAAATAATGTTTGAGTGTATGACTTTTCTTCTTTAAGGCCTGATGATTAATTCATAGTGGGGACAAAAGCCTTTGGGCATGAATTTGAGGGCAGATGCCTTTTCTCTGACTTCATACTTCTTTCCTCTTCTTCCCAAGGCAGGCCCTCCCTGTGCTTTAGCAATCCTCATTAACGTGTGTGAAGCATTTCCTTGCCTTTGCGTTATGCTTATTAGGTATCTCTACTTCCCTCTGAACTGAGCTGCTTCAAGAGAGGAATCATCCTATGCTTACAGTTTTATCCTTTGTTTGATCAGTAATACATCTACTAGGAAGAATACCTCAGAGTTTATACTACTTGTCTTAATTCTCTAGTGCTGCTATAGCAGAAATACCACAAATAGATGGCTTTAACAAACAAACTTATTTTCTCACGGTTCAGGATGCTAGAAGTCTGAATTCAGGATGTCAGGCTTTCTCTCCCTGTCATCTCTGGAGGAAGATCCTTGTCGCTTCTGAGCTGCTGCTCCTGGGTGATCTTCATGTGGCTTGGCATGTCTCTTCCCCCATCTCTGCTTGCCAGCTTGTGTTTAATCTCTTTTATACTGCAAACGCAATTGACTCAAGATAAACACTATACTGATCTTGTCTCATTAACATAACAAACGCAACCCATTCTCATATGGTACTATAATCACATATATAAACCCACTACCATTGAGTCAGATCCAACTCATAGCGACCCCTCCTTGGGTTTCCAAGGCGGTATCATTACAGAATTAGATTGCCCAACCTTCCTTCCAAGAAGTGGCAATCACATACATAGAGGTTAGGGTTTACAACACATATTTTTTGGGGACACAATTCAATCATAACATTACTTCTGTAAGTGAAAATAATGAGAAATCTTAATACTATAGAAAAAAAAAAAGATAGTGAGAGCACCCTAAAACCTTACACCCGAACTTAAACTTACTGCCACTGAATTAGTTCTGATGCATAGTGACCCCCATTGGGTTTTCAAGGCTGTAAATTTTTATGGAAACAAACTGCCCCACCTTTCTTCTGCAGAGCTGCTATGGATTTGAACCATTGACCTTTTGGTTAGTAGCCAAATATCTTAACCGTTACACAACCAGAGCTCCTTAAAACTTTATTTAGGATAAGCAAATTACAGTGAAAATATCTTTATCTAGAAAGAATGCCAGGTGAAGAATGCCAGGTGAAAAGAAAGTATGCTTCTGAAAACCTTGAGCAAGAAGTCAATTATACCAGGCCTTCTGTATTAGGAGGAGATAGTGTACCTCCTGCTTTCATATCTCTTTTAAGAAAAAGAGAAATGGGTGGAGAATTAATATGTATATGAAAATTCTGTAAATTTGGGGAAAATTACATTTCTTGTGGGTAAAGTATGTTTTGTTTCAGAATGAATCAGTACTATTTTCATAAACAGACTTAATGCTGATACTTTTCACATATTTTATTGTTTGTCCTTCTCAGGCTCTACAATTTTTGCATAAGCTCATATCCCAGATTACCATAGACATATTCTTTATAGACTGGGAACGACCTAAAGGAAAAGTTCTTAAAGCTGTTGAAGGTAACTGAAATAACCATTTGTAGCAAAATTCTTTTACTCCATTTGCAGAACAAAGAAAATGAAATCCTATTATTCATTTTTATCTCTCTGACCAGGTGAGGGTGGTATACGGAGTGCTACTGTGCCTGTAAGCATATGGAGAACATATTTTATAGCGAATGAATGGAATGAAATTCAGACTGTGAGAAAAATTAATCCACTTTTTCAAGTACTTACTGTCATCTTCTTTTTGGAGGTATAAACTAATGTAATTATATGCAATATATGAAAATCTCATACCTCATAAATATTGTTGTTGTTGTTGTTATGTGCCGTCGAGTCGGCCCCGACTCATAGCGACCCCTCCTTGGGTTTCCGAGGCAGTATCACTACGGAAGTAG